AGAGAAAGATAATTATACTAATATTAGAAAGAGAGAGAAATCAAGAAAAAAGAGACCCAAATAATCAATACTGATTATGGTGGTGGTGGTGGTACATCGAGCCGCCAGCGGTTCCGCCTCCGCCACCTTCCTCCGACGAGCCCTCTCCCATTTTCCCACCCATTTGGGCCCCGAGATTCAAATACACCATCCTCGAGTCGAGCTCCGTCGGGTAAACCCCTCCTCCAGGCGGCCGGTCCCCGCCGCCACCACCGCCGGAGCTCCCTTCCTCCCGTGACATCACCATCGCCGCCGACTGCACGAGCTCGAGGCACAACCTCAGCTTATTAGGCTCCACGTGTCCCAATCCCGGCACCGCCCCTTTAAACAAAAAGTCGGACGTTAGGGTTCGGAGCACGTCTAGCGGCGTGACCCCGTCCACCGTCCTCGCCACCGGGTCCGCGTGGTGGTCGAGCAACACCGCCACCATCTCCGGCGACACCATCTCCGCCGCCGCGTGTAGCGGCGTCTTCCCGGCAGGCCCCGCCGGGCAGTTGACGTCCGCCGCCCCTAGCTCGAGTAGCGCCTTCACGACCTCCCGGCTACAATTGGCGACCGCGTAGTGGAGCGCGAGGGACTCGTCGAGGTTGAGCCCTTCCCCCATCACCATGAGCTTCACGAGCTCAACATCTGAAGAATCAAGCGCGCGACGCATTCGCCGGATCTTCTGGTCCTCGAGCTCGTCGGCCGCCGCCGGAAAGTGGTGGTCAGGGTGGTGGTGGTGGCGGCGGGAGATGAGGGAGGATTTGAGTCGGAGCTCCTCGATTCGAGCGACGACGTCGATCGGGAGGTGCTTGGCGAGGACCTCTGGCGGGAGGCCCGATTTCGCGACGAGGTGGGAGCACGTGGCCCACAACGGTTGCATTTCTTGCTTTCGAGAGGCGATGAGGACTTTCATCACGTCGTCGATTGATGCTTTCTCCACCATGCTCGTCAGTTGCTTCTGCGTTGAAAACGAATCGATGATAGCGAAACGAGTAATTATTATAGACATGGAAATAGATAGGTATGGTCAAAATCGAGTTGTTCGAAATGGTTAGTTGTTATACTTTGTCAGATCTGTTGTTCCACTTTTATGTTTCGTTTCGTATAACGCTAATTTCACATATACATATGTACACACATATGGTTCATACAAAAAAATTGGAATAGAAGAGTGACATTCAATTCATGATCAAGAGATGATACATTTGGATGAATTAATAGAAAATGAAGCAAATAAATGTTGATGCTATAGCATTATTGTTTACTCACGAATCAAATCGAGTTGTTTGACTCGTCGATTAAGGGATCGAATCGTCGATTAAGGGACCGAATCGTAAGTATTTGATTGGATAAGCTAACACATATACATATGTACACGTATCGTTCATTCAAAAAACTTGGAATAGAAAAGTGACACATTAATTCAATTCTTGATCAAGAGATGATACATTTAGATGAAATAGAAAATGAAGCAATAATTGTTGCATTCACTATGATTGATGGGGCAATGAGGGGAATATTGGAATGTGAATATTCCAATTCATTATTCTTCTCTCCACTACTTTCCCAGGCTCTTTTCAATGAATATAACTCTAAAGAAACAAAACAACATAAAGACATTAAGAGATTATTAACATTGTTCTATATTTTAGGGGTGAGATTTGATTTAGGCTTATGAAATGAAACCAAAAAAGGAAAATGATTTTTCTGATTCTTTTGGCCCAATTTGGGGAGAAGAAATGAGGAGAGAGAGCACTGTGGAAAGAAAAGACCTTTGCAATGATGAATCAAAGAACCAAATGTAGAAAGTTTTCAGTGCCCATTGAAAAGAAACACACATTAATTTAGTTATGAAAAATGTAATAAAAAATCAAATCAAGAAAACAAATGTTACATGAAATCAAGACGATGGCTTGTCATGTGACACATCGATCCCCAAAAAAAAACACACAGCACAGCACATTAAGTTTTTTTCTAGACACAATACAACGACTGAGTGATAAACAAACAAAAGAAACACATATTGATTGAATAATGAAAAGACAGCGAGTAGACACTAA